CCCCCGCCTCCCGAGCTCGACCCACGCCGAGCAGAATGCAAAACCGCACCTGACCTTGAATGCAGCCTACGAGATGGATTAAAATCCCGCAAGCAGGCAGGGACTCGCTTAGGAGCTGGCTAACCTTGAAGAACTTGTCAAGCTTCCCCCCTCGGCTGCCGTGTTTATCTGAGGAATCAAAGGAGGCTCCGTTGCAGATGGGGAACAATGGCATTGGGACTTGACGCCTACGGATCCCTTCAGCGCTAAAGATTTCTTCGGGCGGAAAGGAACCCCCCGCACCAAGCGTACCTGGTGATGATATCAACTGAAGTAATTAAGGCAGTTTCGTGCTGTAGAGAGAAAGGTGGAGCCCCAACAACATGAAACTACCTAAACCACAGAGCAGTTCTCAGGCGCTAATTATTACTTTCCCCATTGCCGTGGTCTTTAACGCAAGGATCCCGCTACGAAAATAAAACCAGAAACGTGACTAAAACATCCCTCCTCCCGCCCCGCCGGCGCCCCTCCGCGCCCCCGGCCAGCCTCGGGTGAGGGTAATGAAAACAAGGGAGAAATATAATAACACATACACACACATACACACACTCACGCACACACACTCACGCACACGCAGCTTTCCCCTCTCCATGCAGATGCAATCGGGAAGAAAAAGGCCGTGGCATTAGCCGTCGCTCTTCCCCCAGCCCTCCTTTTGCCTTCCCTTTGTGCAAGACTCTATGAGCTGAACATGCAGCGAGGAAGGGAGGATGCAACAAGAAAAAAAAAAAAAAAAAAAAAAAAAAATAAAGCTGCTTGGGTGAAATAAGCTCCTCCACATGCAGACAGGTAGGGAATTGCCTTGTCTGGAGGGGCCCGCTGGCAGGGAGGCCAGGCTGATGTCCCCCCCTCCGCCTCCCCATGCGCTCACCTTTACGATTTCTTCTCACCCCTGAGATAAAGCTAGAATTTTGTCACCGTCCTCCGGAGTTAAAGATCTCCGCACACTTGTAGGTGTTCGATTAAAGAAGGGGAAAAAAAATAAATCGTTTCCCTACCCTCAAGAAATAGTAATTTGCTTCCTCAGTCTATGCAGCTCCTCAGTCAACTGAAACCACTCGTTCAAGACAGCAACAATCCAGATATACTAGCAAGTCATAAAACTGAACAAAAGCCGACAAACCTTAGAGCACCATCGCTATATGGCCCAGACAAATTACGACCGTCTAGGTAATATTTAAATAGATTCCTAAAGTAATTGCAGGGGGTTTAGGCAACTATTCCTGTTGTAAAAGTTCTCGAAGACATAAAGTAGAACCTGAGGATAAACAGTCACAAAAAGAGGTAAAATTAAAAGGATTCATTCCACGGTTTTTTATTCTTCTATGAGAACATAAACATCGTCTTTTTCACGCACAGCAGCATTACAATATTAATTTATTCCGATTTAAGGTAAGAACTAAATATAGCTAGAACTAACATTTATAATAACGATAGAATGCATTTGCTTAAAACAGTATCGGCATTTTAATAATAATAGACATTTATACATATCTGTATTTATAGTTTTTCCCCTTCTTTCTCTTTTTTTTCTCTTTTTAAATTTTTTCACCTATATGCTTGACCCTTTAATGAATGTAACTTCACAGTATAAAGGAAGACGAACATATTCTCCCTCGCAATCTCAGACTCTGGCTCAGAAAGTCCTTCTGATGTTCAGGATATATACTTTTCAGTGAAATTAGTGAGGAAAAAAGTGAATACTTTCTTCTCAAGGGGGAATTTCTGTGTGCTTGTCATGCGTTACCAACGGTAACGTTATTTATAGACAAAAGAAAATCACTAATTCCACATATTTAAGCAAAACTACATTGAGTAAATATCTACAACCAGAAAGAGCGAGAAAAATTCAGAGGTAAGTGTCATAATTTAGTCCATGAGCAACACGAACTCTTTTATACCTTTAAAGAGAAGAGATTTCATTTTCCTGGCCAATTTTAAAGCTGTAATACTGACTTTTAAGGTAAAGCAAAAAAAAAAAAAAGATTCGCTCTTAACACCCGTTCCCATGAAGCCCTTTTAAAGGATGCCTGCATTTCATTATTGTAAGTCCCGCTTTTCGAAGGAAAAAGGGGGGAGGGGGGAAGAAAAGGAAAACAGAGAGGGGGGGAAGCTCCCGATATAGAGAAATATGGCAAGGCTTAAATCTCTTCATTCCGCAGCTACGTACAGTCCAAGTTACACCGCTTATAATTTAAAAGAATGCGCCTTTAACCGAGCTCGTTTACTTTTCAGAGAGAGATACGGGGGGGAAGATATTTGCAGCTCCTGAAACGGTATTTCAGTGTTTCAAAGCTTAAAGGAACAAATCGGCCCCGGGGAAGGCTGGAGGAAGCGGGGAGGTTCACGCACGGCATTTTGTGCATTAGCGTGGCTTTAGTCCGCTCCCCCCCACCCCAAAGCAGCTCTTAAGAGGTTAAGGACATACTGAGAACGTCTAAAATCGTTAATCCATACAGGTGCGGATGACTACAGCCTAGGAAAATGATACTGGCTCTTTAAACCATAAAGATGTGCTTAAAGGTTCATCAAGAGAAATTAAAGTTGGCTGTGAGCTCCCGAATCCTATTCTCTCTGTTCATTTTCTTCAGTTTCATTCTGCGGTTCTGAAACCAGATTTTAACTTGTCTGTCTGTGAGGTGGACTGTGCGGCTGATCTCTAGGCGACGCTCACGAGTCAGGTACATATTGAACAGAAACTCCTTTTCCAGCTCGAGAGTTTGATGCTTGGTATAGGGGCACCGTTTCTTTCTGCCACTTTTTGCCGTGAGCCAGTTTGCTGCATTTTCTCCTTTTGAATTGCCTAGTTTTGAGAAAGTAAAAAAGGGACGTTACCAGCGGGTAGGAGGCAAAGAGCTGGGGGTGGGGGGG